TTGTGACCCGATTCAACGCTCGATAGTCGATGCACATGCGCAGGCCTCCGTCCTTCTTCGGCGTGAACAGTATCGGGGCGGCGTAAGGTGACGTGCTCGGCCGGATAAATCCTTTGAAAGCAGATAATCCAGCTGTTTCCGCAACTCGTCGAGCTCTGGTTGGCTCAGCCGCCACTGTGACCGAACAGTTGGTTTTGCGCCTGGTTCCAGCTCAATCTTGTGGTCTCCTGGTCGCTGTGGTGGCAGCCCATCAGGCAGGTCATCCGTGAAAATTTCGGAATGCCTCCGAATTATGCTCGCCACGTCGTCTGGCACAACAGCGCAGAGCGTGTCAGTGTCGGCGATTTTCTCGGACGCCACCACCTCGTACAACTGTACGGTGTAGCTTTGCGCTCTAGGTTTTATCGCCCTTTTCAGCGTGATCGCGTTGACACGTGTTGTCATCGGCTCCGGCTCCACCTATTTGGGAAGTGTCACGCGCCCTTTGTTGCACAGCACCGTGATCGCTCCCGTCGTCCAGTCGAACGTCGGATTGAATCGCTGTAGCCAATCTCGTCCCAGCAGCACATCGCAACCGTGCAGTGTTGTCGCCAGCATTCGCATTGAAAACCTGAAATCGTCGCCACACTTCATCCGAATTTGTCGGACCTCGTCCTTGATTGCCAGCAGTGTCCCATCCACCAGTCGAGCGTCAATCTTGGGCAGACACCTGTCCAGCTTGACTCCGACTTTTTTTGCCGTTGCCAGGTTGACGAGACTGTGGCTCGCCCCACCGTCAACGAAATTTTTTATGTTATGTCTGTTAACCATCCCCACGACCAGCACAGGGTGATCCACGTGTTCATCCACCTTATTCATCCAGTTGCGGTCGATAGCCCGTATCGGTACCACTACTCGGTGTGAATGTTGATTGTCGGGCGACGGGGTCTCGTCAGTAGGTGGCCCGACTGCTACTGACTAGTCTCTTTTCCCGACCCCTCTTCGTCGTTCCTGTTTCCCTGTTTCAGCTTCGGGTAGTCCTTCCTCCAGTGGCCCGGTTGGCTGTAGTTGAAGCACGTGTTAGGTCCACGTCTTGGTGCATCCACCCCGTTGATTGTGGGCTGGCGCGGCGGTCCACGAAATCGAGTGCCCTCCCGGGAACTCATTCTCGCCCCTTGCATCAGCGCATCCATCTATTGAGCCACCTGGACGACATGGAGGAAATCGCGTGGCCTCGCCCGTCACACCTCGTACTGTACTTCATACTTGAGGCTTGCGACGTATCGGTCGAGTCGCTTCGCATCACTCATGTCGTTCATCTGGTCAGCCAAATTGCAGAATGTTGCCCTGTAATCTTGGACTGACGCCACCTGCTTCTAGGTGCGCAACTTCATGCGAGCAGAATCCGAGGCGGATACATGCTCGAATCTGGTTCGCAGCGCGGCGCCCCACTTTGTCCATATGCGTATCGTGTCCACTCCGAAGATTGAAGTTGCTCGTTGCGTGACAGTTGTCCAGGTCCCGTCGTTCGCACGTGACATCCCTGCCGGAGTCCCCTCTGTCTGAAGAGTCCTCTTCCACCACTCCAATGCCAGTCCTCGTAACAGTGATACTGCAAAATTAATGCGAGTAGCATCGTTAGCAATTTGCGCAGCATTGAAAAACATCTCCACACCGAACAACCATGCCGACACAGTGACGGTTTTGTCGCTAGGGTTGAACGGGGGCGGGTTCGTCGATTTTGTTTTAACAGTTGTTGAGACAGTTGCTGCTACATGCATCGGGGGCGCCACCGAAGCCATCACCGGGGTTGTCGCTGTTGCCTGTCGTGGCGTAGACTGCGACTGTTGCCTCGGTGCCGCTCGTGTCTGTTGCTGCGGCTGCGAGTGTTGCTCCTGCGTCCCTCGTGCCTGTTGCATCCGTGCCGTCCACTCATCTTCAGCGTCGAGCGAGTTCTGTAGCTCGCTAAGGACCTCGTCGTTAGGCGGCGAAGCTGCTACTTGCTTCATCCATGGCGGGCGACTCCCGACGCGCTTCACCTCGCGTGTGGCGTAGCTCGGCGTTTTCCTCCCTCTGGCGCTCCACCTCTGCACACATGGTATGCAAGTTGGCTTGCATCGCCCGAAACTGTTGCATGAACTCGTTGAACTCTGCCTGTTCCATGTTTCGCAGGCTTCTCCTAACGGGCAGCGGGTTAACAACGATCTTTATGGTTTTGATGAAGGCGCAAACGCTATTAGTCGGAGCGAGATAATCGTATCTATCTCTCAGTCGACCGCTTTGCAGCCCACCAAACCTATCGCACCCCTGCACTAAAACTACCCCGGAAAGAGGAGGGTAACCTAGGAAAGTAGCTCTGATACCAAGTGTTATGAGTTGTACAAACGAAGAGTGCGCAATATTCAATAACGCGGAAGTGATTACAATTATTGAGCAAACAACAAGGCCTAGGCAATATATAGCAAAGCTAGCTAGGCCGAGGTAGCGGAGTCGCACGAAGGTTGGGCGCAGGTTTGGGTTTGGAAAACCCGGAGACGACGCGGAGGACGTTCGGAAGGCGAGGTCAACCGATCGAGCCTGAATTCAGAAAAGTTGGAATTTGTACGCGTAAGAGATGCCTCAGTAAGGAATTAGCGAAATTCCTTACAAAGGGCCGTTGGGTCAGTTGAATCGTCGCTTGGCTTGCCTGCAGTGCAGCAGCAGCAGTTGCGCGCAACCGTCCTCTCGTTGATCATTCACCCTCTCGACACTCCCGCCTAACCACCACCCCGTCTCGCACGCCCGTCCCCCGCTAACCGCCGTCGCGTTGGTACCGCGCAGGAGCTGTGCAAGCGATGGGAACCAAGCGATGGGAACCAGGGGAGAGAAGGAGACCAAGGGAAACGAGGGTCGTGGGTCGGATGACCATCTTTGGATCTCGACTTATTTCTCATCACATGTCAATCCTTGTACCACCGCTGCTGGCCCTCCACGCTCTTATTGCCGCCTTCCCACGCATTCCCGGGCGCGGGGATTCAGCCAGCACGGCATTTCAGATCGCATTTTTTCAAAAGAAGCGCCGTTTCTTCCAGAGTCCGGCGGCGGCGTAGTCTCCGTCCGACTCGGAGCTACCAGGAACACGCAGAGCTCGACGTAGTAGGCGCGAATTCGTCGAGCGGCTGGTTTTCGCGGGCTTTCAAACGGCTGGCTGCTGTCCTGTTCCTTGGTGATCATGGGCCTCCTATCCCCGATACTACTGACTCCAATTACAGCACGCAGATTCAATAACAGGGAAGTTAGTGCAACTGCAGCGGGCGTGGTGGCATGGTGGTGGGTGGCGCTCCTCGCGATGGCCGCGGTGCTGCCGACCGCGCGCAGCGTCACCGCCCCGCAGGACCGTGAGCCCCCCCTCCTGCGCACCGCCCAGCCCTGAGCTTCCCCCCCTCCTGCGCACCGCCCAGCCCTGAGCTTCCCCCTCCTACGCACCGCCCAGCCCTGAGCTTCCCCCCCTCCTACGCACCGCCCAGCCCTGAGCTTCCCCCCCTCCTACGCACCGCCCAGCCCTGAGCTTCCCCCCCTCCTACGCACCGCCCAGCCCTGAGCTTCCCCCCCTCCTACGCACCGCCCAGCCCTGAGCTTCCCCCCCTCCTACGCACCGCCCAGCCCTGAGTTTCCCCCCCTCCTACGCACCGCCTAGCCCTGAGCTTCCCCCCCTCCTACGCACCGCCCAGCCCTGAGCTTCCCCCCCTCCTACGCACCGCCCAGCCCTGAGCTTCCCCCCCCTTCCGCCCCTCATCACGTATCTCGCTCTGGTTCCCTCTGGTTCCTTCTAATTCTCTCTAGTTTTCTCTGGTTCCCTCTGGCTTTCTCTGATTCTTTCTAATTTTTACTTCTCTCTGAATCTCTCTGGTTCCCGGTTGTTCTCTCTGGTTCTCTCTGGTTCTCTCTGGTTCTCTCTGGTTCGCTCTGGTTCTCTCTGGTTCTCTCTGGTTCTCTCTGGTTCGCTCTGGTTCTCTCTGGTTCTCTCTGGTTCGCTCTGGTTCTCTCTGGCTCTCTCTGGTTCGCTCTGGTTTTCTCTGGTTCTCTCTGGTTCGTGCTGGCTCTCTCTGGTTCGCTCAGGTTCTCTCTGGTTCGCTCTGGTTCTCTCTGGCCCGCTCTGGTTCGCTCTGGTTCGCTCTGGTTCTCTCTGGTTCTCTCTGGTTCGCTCTGGCTCGCTCCGGTTCGCTCTGGTTCGCTCTGGTTTTCTCTGGTTCTCTCTGGTTCGTGCTGGCTCTCTCTGATTCGCTCAGGTTCTCTCTGGTTCGCTCTGATTCTCTCTGGTCCGCTCTGATTCTCTCTGGTCTGCTCTGGTTCGCTCTGGTCCGCTCTGGTTCTCTCTGGTTCTCTCTGGTTCGCTCTGGCTCGCTCTGGTTCGCTCTGGTTCGCTCTGGTTTTCTCTGGTTCTCTCTGGTTCGTGCTGGCTCTCTCTGATTCGCTCAGGTTCTCTCTGGTTCGCTCTGGTTCTCTCTGGTTCGCTCTGATTCTCTCTGGTCCGCTCTGGTTCGCTCTGGTTCTCTCTGGTTCTCTCTGGTTCTCTCTGGTTCGCTCTGGCTCGCTCTGGTTCGCTCTGGTTCTCTCTGGTTCGCTCTGGTTCTCTCTGGTCCGCTCTGGTTCGCTCTGGTTCTCATCTCGGTGGAACGGTAGCAGTAGGAGCGGTTTAAGTGACTGTCGTATCTTCCCTGACCAGTAAGCCTGTTCTTTCATGGCTTGTCTCTGATCATCATCCCTCTCTCTCCTCCCACCACCATTCCTCCCTCTCCTCCCGCCCCCTCCCCACCCCTCCCCTCCTCCCACCATCACCGCTCTCTCTCCTCCCACCACCACCCACATCACCCTGAGTCACTACCTCATTTTACACCACCCTTCAATCGCACCATCCCACCCACACCATCCCCCACCGCCTCACACCGCCCCATGCCACCCCTCTCCACTCCTGACCACCGCAGTGGCAGCGCTGGAGGCAGTGTGGCACGGGGTGTACAGCAGCAGCGGGGACAGCACAGATGTGCGCACTTGGCGGCCCAGCCTCGTTCTGTTCCATTCTTCACCCCACACGACGACCCCCCACCAACCCCCCACCACCCCACACCACCCCGCCCCACCCCTCTCCACTCCTCACCACCACAGTGGCAGCACTTGTCGCAGTGTGGCGGGGGGTGTACAGCAGCAGCGGGGGCAGCGCGGACGTGCGGGCATGGCGGCCCTCAGTGGACCCCTGCAATGAGCGCGCGCCCTTCCCCCTTCAGTGCATCCCCACCATGTCCGCCCAGCCCAACCAGCGCATCATCTCACTGTGAGCTCCCATTATAACCTCTAACGCGTCATGACTCTGCTACAGCCTAGAGCACTGCCGGCCCTTCCCCCGGCACTGCATGCTCACCGTCGTTGAGACGTGCCGCCATCTCTTTCCCCTCGCCCTCTCATCCCGGTCTCCCCCTATGGCAGCACGCTCGCAGGGCAGGCGCTGCGAGGCACGCTCAGTGCGGCGGTGGGAAACCTCTCCGACCTGGCAGACTTGTGAGTCTTGACCGCCCAATTGACAAAGAAATCGCTAACTTGTGAGTCCTGACCGCCCAATTGACAAAGAAATCGCAGACTTGTGAGTCTTTGGCCGTGCTGTTGTCTCGTCGTCTTGTGCGTGTTTGTTTGCCCCCACGCTATGCCATCATCACTTCATCATTGCACTGGAGACTGGCGACTTGTGAGCGACCACAACAAGTAGGTGTCATGTCATGTACCCGTCCCTCAACGTCCACGCATTTTGAGTTGACTCAAATCCCGTCCCCTCAAATCAAAGCATACGCATTATCATCACTTCAACATGCTCTTGTCACCTCAACATGTCACCATCACCTCAACTCGTCATCATCGCCTCCCATCACCCCATCGTGAACCCAACACCACTTTCCTCAACCCTAAAATCTCTCCCCTCTTTTACCCTCCCAACCCCCTCCCACTTACCGCCCCCTCCCCCTCTTCCTGCTGATGGCATGGCAGTACGCTCAGCAATACAAGGGTGGGCGGCACTCTGCCCCAATTCCGCAGCTCTACACTGGTTGACCTGTGAGTTGACTAGTTTACCTATTAGTTGACTGGTTGACCTATGAATTGACTGGTTGACCTGTGCGTTGACTGGTTGACCCATGGGTTGACTGGTTGACCATTGAGTTGACTGGTTGACCCGTAAGTTGACAGGTTGACCCATGAGTTGACTGGTTGACCTGTAGGGTTGACAGGTTGACCTGTGAGCTGTCCTTGCTTTCCTTGCTTCTCGCGTCTATCATCTCGTCACCGCGCTCACCTCTCCTCACCTTCATTCACCCCTCTCCACCTGCCCGCGCTCACCCTTCACTACCCACTCCGACTCCTTGTCTCACCGTTGCAGCCTCACTCGCTCCTGCCTCATCATAACATTTCACCTGCTCCCTACTCCACGCTCACTCCGTGCATTGCCTTACCTTTGCTTCCCGACAGCTCTATTCTCAACAGCCCCGTTCAGGGCACCATCCCCTCACTCTTCGCCACGTCACCGAGTCTCGCCACACTGTAAACCCACTCATCGCGTTGTAAACCCTGTCGCTGCTCTGTAATAAACTTTCTCAGCTTGCTCTAGTCCCTCTCCAGCTATTTTGCATGGCTTTTTCGATTTGCTTGGTTCGGCTGCAAGTTTCCTATGTCTGTGCGCATGTGCATGTGCATGTGCGTGTGCGGGTGTGTGTGCATCCATGTGTGTGTGTGTGTGTGTGTGTGTGTGTGTGTGTGTGTGCATCCGTGTGTGTGTGTGTTTGTGTGTGCATCCGTGTGTGTGTGTGTGTGTGTGTGTGCATCCGTGTGTGTGTGTGTGTTTGTGTCTGTGTGTGTGCGTGCGTCCATGCGTGCACGTGAGTGCGTGCGTGTGTGCGTGCGTGCGCATCCCATCCCATCCCATCCCAATGCCATGCCATGCCCCGTGCCACAGGACCATTTCCGGCACGAGGGTCAATGGCAGCATACCAGAGGAGCTCTTCAGCGCCACCAGCACGCTGCAGTCACTGTGCGTTGCACCCACCATAGCAGCCACATAAATGCACTAGTCATGAGGGTCAACGGCAGCATACCAGAGGAGCTCTTCAGCGCCACCAGCACGCTGCAGTCACTGTGCGGTGCACCATGGATGGATGGACTGTACACACACGTGGAGGGCGTGGTTCCTTGCATGTTGTTCTCACAGTACAATCAGTGGACACTTCTTTGTCCAAGGAAAATGGCGTCTATCGCAAAATTAGGAACGAGGGTATCTACTTACCATGCACCCGTAAGCAGAATAGAACAGGCAGGTTCTTTATATTTCAACAGCCAATCCTCTTCAGTCTCTTTCAGTCTAAACCATTTTCAGTCTAAGCCATGCTTCCTCTCACTGTGCAACCCACTCGTCGTGCCGGCAGGAATCTGAGCAACAATAGCCTTGCCGGGCCTCTGCCGTCCTCTCTGTCTGGCTTGACATTGCTCACCACTCTGTAATCCCTCTCAACTCTTTGTTATCTTTCTCAACTCTCTGTAATTCCTCTCACCACTCTGCAAACCCCCTGACTCAACCATTCTAAAATGCTGGTGTTCTTCCTCTTGTCAGGTCTCCACCCTGATCAACTCCTTGATTCACACAACACTTCCCCCTTCCGTTCCCCTTTCCCCATCATGTGCCATTCCATGTTTCCTCCTTCTGCCGTCCGTCCCCATTCCTCTCCTTCACACGTCCCCCTTCCCCTCTATCTATCCCACCATTTCCACACTCTCGCTCGTGTTTCCATTCTTGGCACTTACTGGGCCCATTTTCTTCCCTCATCCTATATCTCTCCCCACTGCACAGCGACCTTGCAGGCAATGCCCTGTCAGGCCCCCTCCCCTCGCAGCTCGTCCGATCAGGCCTCTCTCTCAGGTGACTTTTGAGTCGACTCAACAGGCCTCTCTCTCAGGTGCACCTTTTTGCTTCTGGCCTTCTTTTTTCCTCCATGGACAGATGTTATTTTTAGAAGTTTTGTTGTTGCTGCTTTTCTTGTTGTCGTAGTCATTCTTGTTCTTTTTTGTTTCCCTCCTAGAAAATACATGTAGCAATCTACAAGTACCTATGTAGAGGTGACAACTTCCTTCCTGCTATTATGTTCACACTCTGTTGGCTCTCCTCCCAAGTCCATCTCGCGCCGCCCACCCACCCGTGTGCCTTGCTTGTCTCCTCCCAGGCTTTCTCCCGGCAACGCTGACCTCTGCATCCCATCTGCTGCTGCAGCTGCTGCTGCTGCTGCCACCACACCCACCACCACCACCCTCCTGCCCAACACCTCCATCTGCCCAGCCTCCCCTCCTCCCCCCGCCGCTGCTCCCCTCCCCCCGCCCGCCTCCACCCTTCCGCCAGCTGCTGTGGCTGTCATAGCAGCAGGGGGGGCTGCTCTGGTGGCGGTGCTGCTGGGTGCGGTGCTGTGGAGAGTGGTGGGGAAGGGGAACGGCAAGGGGACGGGCGAGGAGGGACTGATAGAAGGCGCGGAGGCAGTCCCACGTGCTCGTGAGTATGCATGCACATGGTGTTGGGGGGTATGCTTGTCTGTGGTGTGTGGGTATGCATGCATGTGGGTGTGTATGCATGTGGGTATGCATGCATGTGGGTATGCATGCATGTGGGTATGCATGCATGTGGGTATGCATGCATGTGGGTGTGTATGCATATGTGCATGCATGCACGCGAGTGGGCATGTGAGCATGCACGCGAGTGGGCATGTGAGCATGCACGCACGTTGTTGGGCACGAACCCTCCATCTCTTCCCCACCTCACACTTCCCTCCCCCTCATTACCCCCCCTCTCTCTCCTCTCGTCCTTCCCCCCCCCAATCTCTTCCCCCACTCCCCGCTGTCCCCCAGGAGAGGTGGCGGATGGGTTGACGGAGTTCCAGCTGTGGGAGCTGCAGGAAGCAACCGAGAACTTTCACTTCTCGCGCCTCATAGGGCGGGGCGGGTTCGGCCACGTGTACCGAGGAACCCTCTCTGACGGGTATGCTCCCCCTCTCCCCCCTCTACCCCCTCTCTGACGGGTAGGCTCTCTGACGGGTTGGCTCTCTGATGGGTAGGCTCTCTGATGGGTAGGCTCTCTGACGGGTAGGCTCTCTGACGGGTAGGCTCTCTGACGGGTAGGCTCTCTGACGGGTAGGATCTCTGACGGGTATGCTCTCTGACGGGTATGCTCTCTGACGGGTATGCTCTCTGACGGGTATGCTCTCTGACGGGTATGCTCTCTGACGGGTATGCTCTCTGACGGGTATGCTCTCTGACGGGTAGGCTCTCCCCTCTCTCCCCTCTCTGACGGGTACGCTCTCCCCTCGCTTTCCTTGCTCACAATTAATTTCTTGTTGTTTTGAGCTCTCTGCAGTTTTCCGTTGCAGTAAAACTCATCTCCCGTGTGTGGATTTTTCTTGTACTTGTACCTAAGGCATCCTATTTCCCAGAGCAGCATACAGATCTGATACGTCTCAGAACAGAACACAGTACATGGGGCTGGCGAAGCGTACTTTTGCCCCACAGAGCACTGGCCACAGTCTCAAATTGTTGCTTGAAGCACCCGGGTGGAGGGCAGGGAGAGCCGGAGCACCGAATAGAGATAGAGGTGACCTGGCACGTGCACCACCGCAACACGTCACTCCCTCTCTTTCCCTCCCCCTCCCCCCATCTTCTTCCCAGGTACGAGGTGGCAGTGAAGATGCTCCATGCAACACCGGGGGGCGGCCAGGGAGAGGCGGAGTACCGGATAGAGATAGAGGTGATCGGCCACGTACACCACCGCAACACGTCTCACCCCGCTCTCTCTCCGCCCTCCTCCCTCATCCCTCCCCTCATGCGTGCATTACCTACCAGGTATGAGGTGGCAGTGAAGATGCTGCACGCAACACCCGGGGGCGGCCAGGGAGAGGCGGAGTACCGGATAGAGATAGAGGTGATCGGCCACGTGCACCACCGCAACTTGGTGCAGCTCGTGGGGTTCTGCTGTGAGGGGGACTTGCGCCTGCTGGCATACGAGTTCGTTTCGGGCGGCAGCCTTTCGTCTCGACTCAGAGGTAAGCCACACTCATGCATGATGGCATGTGTGTGCGTAGGCATGGGGTGTAGTGTGGAGTGCACGTGCACAACTTGGTGCAGCTGGTGGGGTTCTGCTGCGAGGGGGACTCACGGCTGCTGGCCTTTGAGTTTGTTTCTGGTGGCAGCCTCTAATCTCGGCTGCTGGCCTATGAGTTTGTTTCTGGTGGCAGCCTCTAATCTCGGCTGCTGGCCTATGAGTTTGTTTCTGGTGGCAGCCTCTAATCTCGGCTGCTTCTGAGGCTTAATAATGTTCACCTTCTCCTTCCTCTCTCTGCCAAACCCACTTCACACTCAACAGACGAGAGCAATCTGGTGATGGGAGCACCGGGTGGGAGCAAGGGCCCTGCCAAGGGGCTAGCCTACCTGCTCGAGCAGTGCGAGCCCATTTCAGAGGCGCTAGACTGTTCACCTTCCCCTTCCTTTCCCCCTCTCCCTCTTCACCCGCTCCGGAACGAGCAGACAAGAACAATCCGATGACCTGGGAGCACGAGGTGCCAGTGGCAGTGGGGTGGGGTGAGGCAAGAGCCTGGCCTACCTTCACGAGCAGTGTTAGCCACGCCCACGGACATTTGGCATTCAATCATGAACCTTCCCTTTCCTTTTCCTCTCTCACACACCCACTCCTCACCAATCAGACAAGAACAATCCGATGACCTGGGAGCACAGGGTACGAGTAGCAATGTGAAGCCCGCCAACATCCTGCTGGACGCTGCAGGGGAGGCTTTTTCTAAATCACACCCCCCCCTCCCCTTCTCCCGGCAGACAAGAACAACCCAATGACCTGGGAGCACCGCGTGCGCGTGGCTGTGGGGTCTGCGAAAGGCTTAGCATACCTGCACGAGCAGTGTGAGCCGCGCATCATCCACCGCGATGTGAAGCCCGCCAACATCCTGCTGGACGCTGCAGGGGAGGCCAAGATCGCTGACTTTGGGCTGGCCAAGGTCATGCCGCAAGGCGTCAACGACATGACCACCCGCGTGAGTTGCCTCATCACACTTCTCCCCTTCTGCCATTGAGTCGACTCAAAAGTGAGTTGCCTCAACGCACTCCTCCCCTTCTGCCATTGAGTCGACTCAAAAGTGAGTTGCCTCAACGCACTCCTCCCCTTCTGCCATTGAGTCGACTCAAAAGTGAGTTGCCTCAACGCACTCCTCCCCTTCTGCCATTGAGTCGACTCAAAAGTGAGTTGCCTCAACGCACTCCTCCCCTTCTGCCATTGAGTCGACTCAAAAGTGAGTTGCCTCAACGCACTCCTCCCCTTCTGCCATTGAGTCGACTCAAAAGTGAGTTGCCTCAACGCACTCCTCCCCTTCTGCCATTGAGTCGACTCAAAAGTGAGTTGCCTCAACGCACTCTTCCCCTTCTGCCATTGAGTCGACTCAAAAGTGAGTTGCCTCAACGCACTCCTCCCCTTCTGCCATTGAGTCGACTCAAAAGAGAGTTGCCTCAACGCACTCCTCCCCTTCTGCCATTGAGTCGACTCAAAAGAGAGTTGCCTCAACGCACTCCTCCCCTTCTGCCATTGAGTCGACTCAAAAGTGAGTTGCCTCAACGCACTCCTCCCCTTCTGCCATTGAGTCGACTCAAAAGTGAGTTGCCTCAACGCACTCCTCCCCTTCTGCCATTGAGTCGACTCAAAAGTGAGTTGCCTCAACGCACTCCTCCCCTTCTGCCATTGAGTCGACTCAAAAGTGAGTTGCCTCAACGCACTCCTCCCCTTCTGCCATTGAGTCGACTCAAAAGTGAGTTGCCTCAACGCACTCCTCCCCTTCTGCCATTGAGTCGACTCAAAAGAGAGTTGCCTCAACGCACTCCTCCCCTTCTGCCATTGAGTCGACTCAAAAGTGAGTTGCCTCAACGCACTCCTCCCCTTCTGCCATTGAGTCGACTCAAAAGTGAGTTGCCTCAACGCACTCCTCCCCTTCTGCCATTGAGTCGACTCAAAAGAGAGTTGCCTCAACGCACTCCTCCCCTTCTGCCATTGAGTCGACTCAAAAGTGAGTTGCCTCAACGCACTCCTCCCCTTCTGCCATTGAGTCGACTCAAAAGTGAGTTGCCTCAACGCACTCCTCCCCTTCTGCCATTGAGTCGACTCAAAAGTGAGTTGCCTCAACGCACTCCTCCCCTTCTGCCATTGAGTCGACTCAAAAGTGAGTTGCCTCAACGCACTCCTCCCCTTCTGCCATTGAGTCGACTCAAAAGTGAGTTGCCTCAACGCACTCCTCCCCTTCTGCCATTGAGTCGACTCAAAAGTGAGTTGCCTCAACGCACTCCTCCCCTTCTGCCATTGAGTCGACTCAAAAGTGAGTTGCCTCAACGCACTCCTCCCCTTCTGCCATTGAGTCGACTCAAAAGAGAGTTGCCTCAACGCACTCCTCCCCTTCTGCCATTGAGTCGACTCAAAAGTGAGTTGCCTCAACGCACTCCTCCCCTTCTGCCATTGAGTCGACTCAAAAGTGAGTTGCCTCAACGCACTCCTCCCCTTCTGCCATTGAGTCGATTCAAAAGTGAGTTGCCTCAACGCACTCCTCCCCTTCTGCCATCGAGTCGACTCAAAAGTGAGTTGCCTCAACGCACTCCTCCCCTTCTGCCATTGAGTCGACTCAAAAGTGAGTTGCCTCAACGCACTCCTCCCCTTCTGCCATTGAGTCGACTCAAAAGTGAGTTGCCTCAACGCACTCCTCCCCTTCTGCCATTGAGTCGACTCAAAAGAGAGTTGCCTCAACGCACTCCTCCCCTTCTGCCATTGAGTCGACTCAAAAGAGAGTTGCCTCAACGCACTCCTCCCCTTCTGCCATTGAGTCGACTCAAAAGTGAGTTGCCTCAACGCACTCCTCCCCTTCTGCCATTGAGTCGACTCAAAAGTGAGTTGCCTCAACGCACTCCTCCCCTTCTGCCATTGAGTCGACTCAAAAGAGAGTTGCCTCAACGCACTCCTCCCCTTCTGCCATTGAGTCGACTCAAAAGTGAGTTGCCTCAACGCACTCCTCCCCTTCTGCCATTGAGTCGACTCAAAAGTGAGTTGCCTCAACGCACTCCTCCCCTTCTGCCATTGAGTCGACTCAAAAGTGAGTTGCCTCAACGCACTCCTCCCCTTCTGCCATTGAGTCGACTCAAAAGTGAGTTGCCTTAACGCACTCCTCCCCTTCTGCCATTGAGTCGACTCAAAAGTGAGTTGCCTCAACGCACTCCTCCCCTTCTGCCATTGAGTCGACTCAAAAGTGAGTTGCCTCAACGCACTCCTCCCCTTCTGCCATTGAGTCGACTCAAAAGAGAGTTGCCTCAACGCACTCCTCCCCTTCTGCCATTGAGTCGACTCAAAAGTGAGTTGCCTCAACGCACTCCTCCCCTTCTGCCATTGAGTCGACTCAAAAGTGAGTTGCCTCAACGCACTCCTCCCCTTCTGCCATTGAGTCGACTCAAAAGTGAGTTGCCTCAACGCACTCCTCCCCTTCTGCCATTGAGTCGACTCAAAAGTGAGTTGCCTCAACGCACTCCTCCCCTTCTGCCATTGAGTCGACTCAAAAGTGAGTTGCCTCAACGCACTCCTCCCCTTCTGCCATCGAGTCGACTCAAAAGTGAGTTGCCTCAACGCACTCCTCCCCTTCTGCCATTGAGTCGACTCAAAAGAGAGTTGCCTCAACGCACTCCTCCCCTTCTGCCATTGAGTCGACTCAAAAGTGAGTTGCCTCAACGCACTCCTCCCCTTCTGCCATTGAGTCGACTCAAAAGTGAGTTGCCTCAACGCACTCCTCCCCTTCTGCCATTGAGTCGACTCAAAAGTGAGTTGCCTCAACGCACTCCTCCCCTTCTGCCATTGAGTCGACTCAAAAGTGAGTTGCCTCAACGCACTCCTCCCCTTCTGCCATTGAGTCGACTCAAAAGTGAGTTGCCTCAACGCACTCCTCCCCTTCTGCCATTGAGTCGACTCAAAAGTGAGTTGCCTCAACGCACTCCTCCCCTTCTGCCATTGAGTCGACTCAAAAGAGAGTTGCCTCAACGCACTCCTCCCCTTCTGCCATTGAGTCGACTCAAAAGTGAGTTGCCTCAACGCACTCATCCCCTTCTGCCATTGAGTCGACTCAAAAGTGAGTTGCCTCAACGCACTCCTCCCCTTCTGCCATTGAGTCGACTCAAAAGTGAGTTGCCTCAACGCACTCCTCCCCTTCTGCCATTGAGTCGACTCAAAAGTGAGTTGCCTCAACGCACTCCTCCCCTTCTGCCATTGAGTCGACTCAAAAGTGAGTTGCCTCAACGCACTCCTCCCCTTCTGCCATTGAGTCGACTCAAAAGTGAGTTGCCTCAACGCACTCCTCCCCTTCTGCCATTGAGTCGACTCAAAAGTGAGTTGCCTCAACGCACTCCTCCCCTTCTGCCATTGAGTCGACTCAAAAGTGAGTTGCCTCAACGCACTCCTCCCCTTCTGCCATTGAGTCGACTCAAAAGTGAGTTGCCTCAACGCACTCCTCCCCTTCTGCCATTGAGTCGACTCAAAAGTGAGTTGCCTCAACGCACTCCTCCCCTTCTGCCATCGAGTCGACTCAAAAGTGAGTTGCCTCAACGCACTCCTCCCCTTCTGCCATTGAGTCGACTCAAAAGAGAGTTGCCTCAACGCACTCCTCCCCTTCTGCCATTGAGTCGACTCAAAAGTGAGTTGCCTCAACGCACTCCTCCCCTTCTGCCATTGAGTCGACTCAAAAGTGAGTTGCCTCAACGCACTCCTCCCCTTCTGCCATTGAGTCGACTCAAAAGTGAGTTGCCTCAACGCACTCCTCCCCTTCTGCCATTGAGTCGACTCAAAAGTGAGTTGCCTCAACGCACTCCTCCCCTTCTGCCATTGAGTCGACTCAAAAGTGAGTTGCCTCAACGCACTCCTCCCCTTCTGCCATTGAGTCGACTCAAAAGTGAGTTGCCTCAACGCACTCCTCCCCTTCTGCCATTGAGTCGACTCAAAAGTGAGTTGCCTCAACGCACTCCTCCCCTTCTGCCATTGAGTCGACTCAAAAGTGAGTTGCCTCAACGCACTCCTCCCCTTCTGCCATTGAGTCGACTCAAAAGTGAGTTGCCTCAACGCACTCCTCCCCTTCTGCCATTGAGTCGACTCAAAAGTGAGTTGCCTCAACGCACTCCTCCCCTTCTGCCATTGAGTCGACTCAAAAGTGAGTTGCCTCAACGCACTCCTCCCCTTCTGCCATTGAGTCGACTCAAAAGTGAGTTGCCTCAACGCACTCCTCCCCTTCTGCCATTGAGTCGACTCAAAAGTGAGTTGCCTCAACGCACTCCTCCCCTTCTGCCATTGAGTCGACTCAAAAGTGAGTTGCCTCAACGCACTCCTCCCCTTCTGCCATTGAGTCGACTCAAAAGTGAGTTGCCTCAACGCACTCCTCCCCTTCTGCCATTGAGTCGACTCAAAAGTGAGTTGCCTCAACGCACTCCTCCCCTTCTGCCATTGAGTCGACTCAAAAGTGAGTTGCCTCAACGCACTCCTCCCCTTCTGCCATTGAGTCGACTCAAAAGTGAGTTGCCTCAACGCACTCCTCCCCTTCTGCCATTGAGTCGACTCAAAAGTGAGTTGCCTCAACGCACTCCTCCCCTTCTGCCATTGAGTCGACTCAAAAGAGAGTTGCCTCAACGCACTCCTCCCCTTCTGCCATTGAGTCGACTCAAAAGTGAGTTGCCTCAACGCACTCCTCCCCTTCTGCCATTGAGTCGACTCAAAAGTGAGTTGCCTCAACGCACTCCTCCCCTTCTGCCATTGAGTCGACTCAAAAGTGAGTTGCCTCAACGCACTCCTCCCCTTCTGCCATTGAGTCGACTCAAAAGTGAGTTGCCTCAACGCACTCCTCCCCTTCTGCCATTGAGTCGACTCAAAAGTGAGTTGCCTCAACGCACTCCTCCCCTTCTGCCATCGAGTCGACTCAAAAGTGAGTTGCCTCAACGCACTCCTCCCCTTCTGCCATTGAGTCGACTCAAAAGA